AAATTGTATATAATCGTTCTATACACTTGTGATAATACAATTTGTTTTATACACTTCGTTTTTATACAGTTCTCTGCCCAAATGTCTTTCTCTTTCTTGTTTTATACATTTCATTTTATACAATTTGCTTCAAATATATATGTATAGCGAATTATACAGTTTCTATGTTTGCTATGGAGCGCAATTATATAAACTTTGCTATAACATACAAATATAAATTTTTTATTTGCTATACGTGAAAGTTGCCCTTAAATCAATTAATGAAAATAATATTATCTTTTTTTGATAATTTTCAAAATTAGGATAAATTTTTTTAAAATATAAAATTAAAATTTATAAATTATATATTATAAACATATTAACGTATTGGATAATTTTTTTTTATTATTAATGTAACTTGTGATGTGTAATTTAGATAAGAGCGCACCCACCCCCTCCCCACCCCACCCCCACCCCCAGATCATCATAGTAAATCCTCTTATTAAGTATTCAGGAAAAAACACTTATTTTCTTTCGATCAACAAAATGATAGAGAGAAAAAATGATATAGAAAAAAAATGATAACAATCGTTATAAAAAGCATAATATATAATAAAAAGAACCTTTTAAAGGGGGTTTAAATTAATAAGAGGAAAGATAGATCATTTCTTGTTCTTGTTCTTGTTTTCAAGAATTTTTTCCAAGTCACTATGCCTACAAGGGATAGCAAGAACTCCTCCTTGTTCGAAACCAAACTCTTCCTCAGCTTGCTCTAATAACCTTATAAATCCTGGATCCGCCAAATAGCTCAACTCAACGATGAACCTCCTTTGTTTCCCATCATCAATTGCATGCACCACAAAATGTCCTTCCTTCACATCTTTTGGAAGAGGCAATGAGGCTGTTTCACCCTCCCAATCATCGAATGCAAACTTGAAACTAGATCTTCTTGGTAATTGGAGGATCTTTTTTAGTATCTTCGCGATATGCTTTCGATTTGTTGTACCTATAAACATCCTTAAGAATTGTTATTATTTACTCAAACAATCTTATAATGTGGAAGGAAAATGTTAAGAGCAAAGTTTATACATAGTTTAGGGAGGACAAAGGATTTGGTTTGTGAAAAGCATAGATGAGATGCAATGCATGTGTAATTATAATGTACTGACATATGTTTATGGAACATCACTTCTAGCTAGCTACCTTGTCCTTTTAAGGACAACATGCACCTAGTGTTCTACTTCACCTAGTTTGTTTTCTTCGCGTACATCTCAACTAGCTCCACGAGGTACCTACTACTTCAACTAGCTTGGATGGATGGAGAGAAATCACTCATTGTTTTTATCTAAGCAACGCTTTGATCTTTCAGATACAACCTCGCTACCTCCACGAGATAGGGTTAAGGTGTACAGGCACTCTATCCTTCCAAGACTCCGCTCGTGAAATTACATTTTTGTACCTTTGCTGGTAGATCTGGACGTGAAATCTCATGATTCTCAACTGACTTTATTGATCATTAGGTCACACCTACTACTCTGCTTCATCTAGTTTCTTTACATTACATTAAATAAAGGACATATGGGACCTCTTCGGTTAATGATGTATACGTACACATAACAGAATCAATTCTACAAGTACTTTAGCAAGGGACCTTTGATGTAAAACTACACATAAAAAGCTCAAATGTAGCAAGTGCTTTTAAGTAGCATAAAGCAAGCACAAACACGATCCACAACTATATTTTCATATAGCTAATTTAATGAGGGCAACTTCCCATCTGACTTGTTGAAATAACAAGTGCAAAGTACAGTATACTGATCACTTGTTACAAACTAAAATGACTTCTCTTGTTCAACTACAATCACGAAATATTTCCGCTAAAAGGAAAATCTATTGTCACTACATATCTCTTTTGTTACAGTAAAATATCGATCACATAGTGGATATATAAGGATCACCTCGCTATATATCGACCAGTGAAAGGAAAAAATTGGATCAGCCATCGATAAAGGAATACCAAACTTTACATGTGTGAGGCCTTGTAGGCCGGGACAATCATAGAATCGGAAGGTTATATTATAACATTGATAGAAAGGCTGAAAGGACACGTGAATGAAATTAAACTCATATTTACGAAATCTAACATGACATTTTCATTTACCATACATAACATGAGTTTGTTTTTTTTCGAAACATATATGAAATTTCACTCAAAATTTTGCCCAAAATTACATGGGGAGAAATGATTTTCTAGTCCATTACAAAATTTATTAGTTTTATGTCCTTTTTTATAAGATATTGATATTTTTACGTATATCAGATCTGAAAATGTCATTTTGTTTTATTCAAATTATAAGAGGACAAGAGATCTCATATTCTCAATTTTTTTAATCGAAACACTCGACATGAAATATGTATACAACTGTATATAAGTATTTGTATAAAGTCGGTGTTAAGTTTCTGGATAAACCCAAATTTCATGTATATATAAGGTATTGTATAAAATATGTAAAAATTTAGTGTTGATCTCTAAAAGTTTGATATAGCTACAACAACATAAAAGAAAATAAAAAAAATTCTTTCGTTTCAAATCAAAATCATACTAACAAATTAAAATAACTTTGTTCTTCCTTCGTTTCTGGAATAATAACTAATAATAATGTGCATTATTTTATAGATTTTTAGAAGAAGCCAATAGTCAAGTCATAATCTCCATGGGTCATTACCAGTTACGTATTTAATCTCAAATAAAATAAAATATATATAGTTCCAGATCAATGATAAAAGTAATTAAAGTGGTAACAATTTGTTTGGATAACGTTAATCAACGTGTATAAGTATAGTGACAATATAGTAATATTAATAATTTATGAGAAAAATATAATTTAATTTATAAAATATCATTGTTGAACGGAATTCATGTATAAAGAGTATGACAATATAGTAATATCAATAATTTATGAGAAAACATAATTTTACTCATAAAATGCTATTGTTGAACGTGATTTATGTATTAAAGAGTAAGAGTAATATAGTAATACCGATAATTTATAAGAAAAAACATAAATTTATAGTAATACAACAATTTATGAGAAAAACATAATTTTACTCATAATATTTTTTTTGCAAGCATCTTATATTAAAGCACGCTGTATTTAAAAATATAAAAATATTTTTTAATAATAATTAATTAATGTTAGTAGCTTAATTATCACTAAATTTATTTTTAATGACAATCAAAACTTTTTTAAAATGTCTCTTATCTAAAGCCTATGGCGACATTTCATATTAATTAATGTTGATGGAGGTTTTATCATGCTTTGTTAATATGTATATATTTATTACCACTAAAAGCTATTTTTATTACTCAGCGCACATCATCTGTAATTTCACGATATTTAATCCCCTCTTTGTGTTTGATAATTTTTTTCCCATTATTGCTACACATCATGGTCGAATAACTAAATAATTTTAGTATTTTTATTAGAGTTAACAAACTATAAATTCATTTTTTACCTCACAAATGCACCTAATTAATTATCGTACGTGTTGAATTTTGAAACAATTGACAGATATACCTGCACCTCAAATTTCACTTTCATAACAATTTTGGCCGGTTTGGTAGTGACCCATGAAAGAGATATACACAAATCGTTTGTATATGTATATCGAAATTATGGTAGAACGGGATGTACTCCTAATTTTTAATTCTTAATCAGGCGTTTCAATTTAGAGTATATTTACTAGGAAGCATTTGATTGCATTTTAATATGGACATCAGACATTGGATGAAAAATAAAAATATATACTTACGCTATCAAATTGTCAAAATATATAGTATATATTTATAGGTAAAAAAAAATTTATTATAAATTTTGAAAATAAAGTATGTTACATGTCATAACATGTGAATTAAGGTGAGATATAATATAAATTTCTTATACCAACGAAGAGTATATATGAATTATGAATGATTAATAGCAATGTGTCTTTTTCTAACCATCAGTAAAATATTTTTTAATTTTGTGATATTAAATATGACACGTGATAAGTTGAAATTAAAAAGTTATAAAATATTATTTTTATAAATTAAAATAAAAGATACTACACTATATGAAATGATTTTACTTATACACAAATCACAATTGAAAGAAATTTTACACTCCCATACTTTTCCTTATTTTTAGGTAATTAATTTATGTCAATACCCGATTGAGTGGTAATTATAATAGTTTTCTAATCTTTTGTTCTTTTATATTCTTTTAATTATAAATTTTTACTTTTACATTTAAAAGATTTCTTATTGAAAATTGCAGGAAGAGAAAAATTGTTGGACTCTTGAAGAAAAAGCATAGGAAATACGTGCAGCCAGAAATGGTGAATCTTTGAAGCTAAGTTAAATGAATGACTCGTGTGTTAAAATGAACATGCAATTATATTGATTTGGAAAAAAAAATATGTTGATTTGCAGTGATAAATATCTCGATTTTGAATTTTGAATATAAAATATTTTGTTGAGAACGTTATTTTTAAATGAGCTTTATAATTATATGTATTCACTTTGTTAAAAAATAATATCGTATATGTATGTATATTTAATCAGTTTTAAAAATTATATATGCATATATTAACTTTTGATTCTACTAACACAAGTGTGATCCTTGACCCAACCGTAAAAAGATTATAATTTTTCCAGCTTGCTCGAGTTTAAATCCCTATTCTCACACTACTTTGTAAAAATCCTACATCTGTCACCAATACTTTAATATAAACTTTCAACGTCAAATGAAAAATAGAAAATGCAAATACTTACCATCCAATATTCTCACCATAAATTAGCTGACATTTTTGATACATTTGATACCATCGAATGTAAAAGTTAGAAAAGTGTTTTTTTATATTTTTAAAATATTACTGAATTAAATTTAGTTATTATTTTTGAAGCGAAATGAGTATTATTATAAAAAATATTTTTATTTGTTATGGTTTATTTTTCATAGTCAAACGATAAAAATTTTAACTAAAATTTTGTGATTATTTTTTATTATATTAATGTGCAAAAAATTTCAATTCATAATACTTTTTATATAAATTTTTTATTTAAAATATTAAATTAATATAATTTATAACTTTAAAAATTAATCAAATTAAATCGTAATGTTACTGTGTCATTTGTCATTTCCACATGCCAAAGTGGCTGGACATGTGTCCATGGCTTAGCCTAGATTTGAAACGTGTCACATTTATGGGGTAGTCATAAGACACGTGGCATGTCTTAGTTGAGAGGAGATATCTTCGTTTTACGCAATTCTCTCTCAACTTAGTAAATAGATGAAAATTTCCATAAGGAGATTCAGAATCTGAAAGAAGTAACGAAACACACTAATTAATTAAAAAGGGTTCAATATAATATATATATATATATATATATAATATTATTCTCGTCGAAGGGCGATCAAATGAACCCCTAGAAGCATGGTGGCTCGCCTCCACTCTCATTCCATTTTATGTGAAATAGTTTGTGTTATTATTTTTTAGACAAATCAAAACAAAAATAAATTATATAAATCGTGCGAGTAAATCTGATGTAACATTGCTTTCTTTATGATTAGAGGTTTTGGACATGGAAAAAATAATTTTGAATAAAAAGTTAATCGAGTTTTAAAATAAATATAAAATTCAGAATATTTTTTTTAAAAAAAGAATAGATCAGTATACTGTTTCACGTTAATTTTGATACCTGAAGAAGTTAAAACTGAACTATTTTGGATAGTGATGTTCCAATTTAAAACATAATTTACCCAACTTACCGACTTAAATATCATGTCATTTTATTTTATATTTTAGAAAGAAGAAAGTGAACTATTAATCCAAAACCATCACTAATTTAAGAAGCCTTAAAACAAGAAAACAAAAACTAATATATGCGTGACCCCAATCATACCCTTAATGGACGTGATTTGAAATCACTAATTTTTTGTCACTACGACACAAATAAACGAATGAATGTAATTGCCACAAAGTAAAAGAAAACATGAAACTGAAAAATTGAAATCAAATTAAACCTCAAAAACTATGATATCGTATACACTATACGAACTGTTGTATTCTTCATTTAAGCTTAAACTGATCTTCCCTTCAACAAGGTGTTGTATGTTCACATGACGGAGCAAGCATTAGGATTTTCATCGCTGAAATATTGAGGTGCAGAGTATGGTGGTGGTACATACCCAGAATGACCATAACCATAGCTACAACCATGATCATGATCACGCGGTGCAGTAAAGTGTCGTGGCGACACATATCCAGTTCTAAATCCATAACCATGATCATGAAATGCAGTTATGTATGGTGGTGGGGGCATATATCCAACACTGAGACCGTAGTAACCGTGGTGATCCTGTATTGTTGCGCCATAGTTTTGATTCCAGTGATTTTGATTGCACATATTTGGATTAATGTAACCACCATGGTGACATTCTTTTTTGCTGTTCATCACCTCTGTCTTTTGCTCTTTTGGCTCTGTACTTCTACTTGCAACTGTAGAACACGATGCGCTGTGTTTCTTTTTCCCATCGCGAACCATTTCTCTGTTCTTCTTGTTATCATACCGGCTGCATGATTCATTACCTTTCTTTTGTCGAACAACAGAAACATTACGTTTCAATTTCTTTATAAGAAATCGCTTTAATTTTTGTACAGGTCCGTTACAATGCTGTTGAATTACCTCATTGTTACATTGAACCTGAACAACCACCAACATCAAAATTATTGTGTAAACTTTGAAATTATTCGAATTTAACTCAAAAGATATCACATAAATTGGAACGGAAAATTAAATTTTCCAGAACATGAATATGAACAGTACATTAGAGAAGTAAGTAAATTACCTTATTGGGTTTTTTATCTACTCCTTTCTTCTCCTCTGCTGCCTTGTTCTCAACTTTTTCATCGGATTTTTTCTTCTCCTCTACTGCCTCGTTCTCAACCTTCGCATTGGATTTTTTCTTCTCCTCTACTGCCTTTTTCTCAACCTTCTCATCGGATTTTTTCTCGCCGGCGGCAACCTTTTTGGGCTGAGCAGAGAGGAGCGCCACCTTCTTCTTAGTCTTACTTTCCACTTTCTCCCGGAGCCATAACGGATCCACATTCCCTTTCACAGTCAATTTTCCAGTACTGGCATCCGCCTTCACGTCTTCCACACCTTCAAAAAAAAATTAATATAAATTCAAAAAACAATAATATAATTAAAAAACGACCTAGATTTTACCCCAATCTAAATCGAAAATAGAAATATTGTTTCCGATAGACCGCTAATTTCAAAGTATAAACTGAAGATCTCGAGTTAACTAATTTTATTAAAGCACATAATGATGTTTATTTTACCTTCAAAGTGGCGAACGGAACGTCTAACTTTTTGAGCACAACCTTCACAATGCAAATCTAGCTTCAACAGAATAGTTGCAATACCGCCGCTGTTGTCGTCGGCGTTTTTCCCACCGCCGGCCGACTTTTTCCCGGCTTCATTCTTCTTCTTCTCAACTTTGATTTTTTCCTTTTCCTGAAACCCAAAAAATTAAACAAAATTAAAACAGGGGAAGTGAATTAAAGAAGAATTAGAGGTTTTAGAAGAAAGAAATAATGAAAATTACCTCACCCATTTGAAGAATTAGAGGATGAATTATGAGAATCTTAGAGTTATGGTTATTTGAAAGAAATTATTATTATTAATTAAGGAGAGAAATAAAAAAACAGAAGTAGAACTGGAGAAAATATAGAAAATGGGGAGACACGGTTTTCTATTTTTTTTTTTAGGACAAATATTTATTTTGATTTAATAGGAAACTACTCCTCTTAACACACTATAGGAAAAATGAAAAAGACGCGTAAATAAAATATTATTACAATTATACAAGTAAAATTTATGTAATTTTCCTAAATAGGATTATTTAATTACGTTTTTTAAATATTAACCTTTGTTTTTTTTAAGGAAAATGTGCAAAAATAGCTCAGCCGTAGTACACAAGAAAAAATGAAAATTACCCTTTTTTTTCACAAGGTTTTTCTTAATGTGGTATTATTTTTAATATAATTTTCTTTCTATTTATTTTGTTTAAATGGTTCACATGTTTGGGGGTCATAACTTTTGTATAAACTATTTTCACAATTAAATTAATATTTCAATAAAGTTAGTGAGTTTCGATACGTGAACAGAAAAATCCACACACTAATATATTAGACTACCCCTTCAAATTATACATTACAATTGAATTTGTAGATTTAATTTTTCTTAACAAAAAAAACTTCTTCTATCTCTATTTATTTATTTATCTATTTTGACAAATCAGAATGATAAACTTTTTTCTGTTGTATTCTTATTTAAACTTCTTTAAAAAATTTAAATTTTAATTCTCATGTTTTTTAAAATCATAATTAATAAAAGTAAAATTATAATTTTTCTATACGAATTATTATTATTTTAATATACGTGTTATTTCTAAAATAGATAACTAAATAAGAATGTAAAATTATATTTTTATTCGCCTTACGTATCTTATTTGTTCACCTCTTTAATTTAACATATGGAAATATATTTTGTGACTTTGACACATGAAAATACACGCCAAGAAATATTAAAATTTACACACGCAAACCAATTAATGATGCTTAAGAATATACAATTGAACCCAACATGAACCTAATTAACGGCTACTTTATATCGTCCATAATTATTTATCACGTTAAGGTTATGCATATCCCTCAAGAAATATATAATATAATGTATAATTTGATTAATATAACTCTATCAAAAATATTAAAAGTCTATCTAATTTTTCGATTGAACTACATAATCATTAAAGGCAAATTTAAAAAAAAGTAACTAATTGTTTTTTGATTATTTAAATTGACAATTAATTTTGAACATTTATTTTTATATACCTGCCAAACAATTGTGAACAAAAGGAATAATAAAAATGTAAGGATATATATATATATATATATATATTCAAAACAAAGTCAGAAAATCTCGATAAAAGGAAATAGTTCGGATAGTAAATAGTTTTGGGATAATTAAGGGAGAGATCCTACGGAAGGATTAAAAAAATAAATAAAGAATTTTAGTTATTTAGTTAATTGACTATCTGATATTTTGATTTATTGATAAAAAAATTGATATTGGGATTTTTCAATTTATAATTCCGTCATTTTATATAAATGGGTCCTCCGTAAAGGAATTTATAATAGTTGTTGTAGAATATTTATGAGTTAGCATTTAGCAATATATTCCCCTACCACCCATTAGGAAAAAAAGTTTTGTTTCATTTAATGGAATAATTAAGAAAGAAGATTGAGAGAAACTTCATCGAAGGCGTTTGAATTTGATCTTTTGTATATACGATGGAATTAAGATTTTTAGTTTATAAATCGTAATCGTAACCTCTTTTTATATTTGATTTCAAATAAATCATTAATATATATTAAATGTATTTTTATAAATCACAACTATACATACTTTTATTATATTCATGATTTCAATTTTAGTTTTTTAAACTTTGTAATTATCTTAAGATTTCATTCAATATTTAAGCAAACTCATAAGTTTCAAAACTTGGCTCTGTCTGTGACTAAAGGTAACTAGGTGAGATTGTTTGTCATTGACATTCTGAGATTTTATTTCTAGAGCTTCAACTTGTTTGCTCCCTTAGTAATTCGAATTCGTTATCTTGGTATCGAAGGCAGAGGATGCTTACATATTTGGAGCAATCCCCTCTTGTCTCCTCATCGAGATATAAATATGCCAGATAATAGTAAAAAATTACTTACTTAACTAGTTTTTTAAAAAAAATTCTCATTTGATGTTTAGTATCCGCGTTGAAGTCCCAGTAAATTGAATTTATTGTGGAAAGTCTCATATTAAGGAGAAAAAGCTCTACATGATAAAGATGACCTTATACCCGAAGAAACTCGAACTCGAGATTTTTTAGTAGTTGGATCTTGACTAGTTTTTGTTCTTGTAGTGTCAAGCTAATGATTGGGCCTGGACCACATACTCAACTGGATGCTCAAATGGGCCGGTTGGTTATATAAAGCCTTTGGGAGTTTAACTCACCTAATGTTATCTTGCAATATAAATAGCATAAGAAATTAAATAACTACAATATAGTTCGAATAAGAAATAACTATAAGAAAAAATGTAGACTTCTGAAAAATAGCTTGTTTTCATTTAATTTTTATTGTATAAAAGTTTCAATAATTGAAACAAAGTAAATTATAAACCTTTTCTATTGTTAGACAACATTCTTACAAATTTGTCAATTCTTTAATGAAGCCCAAAATTAATAAAATCCAAACACAATTCATTTATTTTTTTTAGAATCAAATAGTTTAAGATTGATTCGAAATTTACGCATGAAAACTTTAATTTTTTTGAAATAAAATTTATTATATATTTATAAACTACTTAAAAAGTACTATAAGTCACAATAATAGATGATTCAAAATGTTTAAAAGATTTATAAAAAAATTACGATTTCAAAGATAAACTTATTTAAATTTCAAAATTCAAAAAGTGTCACGTAAAATGGAACGAAGGAAATACGTGTTATATTGAGGACATAATAAAAATATATTTTTTCATGGTAAAAAGCAATAGGACCAACCGTTTCAGACCCGGTTCACTCTCCTAATTAACCACCGCCAAAACGTAATTAAACCGCCTTCTTGTCGACGTGTCATCCTCAATTCCTGTGGCGTCAATTTTTTTATCTGTTCCTTTTCTTCTATTTTCCCCTTTTTTTTTGCTTTACTTTTCTCAGATTCCGATCGTTTATCCCTTTCACATTCCATCAAAAATTCGCCTCTCGCCGGAAAAAATGCCGGAGATCGCCGCCGTCTGTTTATCCGCCGTCTCTTCTATTCCTCTCCTAAAAGACCCTCCCTGTTCCTCAGGTTCATCATTTTCATCTTTCCGTAAGTTGACTCTTTTTCCGAGTCAATCGCCGATCCGTTCCGTCAAGTTCGTTGCGAAGGCGTCCGGCTCCGGCGGTTTTCTTGGAGATGATGCATTCGGACCCTATCCTTGGGAATCTTCTGACTCCGGTGATCCTTGTATGTTCGTCAATCTCTAGATAGTTTTTAGTTTAATATTCAAAAGCCTAAAAGTACTCTCTTTTTTTTTTTTCCTTTTGCTCCTTTGAGATTTTAAGCTATGCGATTCATATTACTTGGTATTTATTTGTTTAAAAGGCGAATTAGGCTTTACAACTAGAGGATTTGTAGATGTAAACTAAACTATACAACAGTAAAAATATTGGTACATTTTTGGTCCTCTCCTAAAATTTTGCCTATTCCTTGTCAGTTGATGTTAGATTCCTTAGGCATTCTTCAAGGGTGTTCTACCTCAAAATTATGAGCGATAATTTGGTTTTAGGTTCAATTATCTTCTACGAGAGCATAGTTCATTTAGAAGTTGTGTTAGTACTTTATGTAGATGTTTTATACAGTTCTGTAATGTGGATTTGTTACAAACACCCTTTTTTGGAGGAGAGCGTAGTTTGAAATGCTTCAAGAATGAATCTCAGAAAACCTTTTACCTGCAATGCAATGCGTGTTAAGTTGTGCAAGGAATTTGTTGAACATTTTAATCAGATTTCATAATCAGAAAATCCTAATACAGTTCGAGTTACGTATACTGTGGCTGATGTTGTTATTTGCATCTTGTCAAGACTTTTTAGGGGCACCATCTTACACAGTGATAACCTAAGTTTTGGTAATGGAATCCCAATTGTAAAAGAATTAAATTATTTTGTCAGGTTAGAAATGCTTAGCTAATTGTAGGAGAGAATGGAGCTTAGTAAATTTGTAGCGCCTCTAAACTTGATGCTTAGCATATATAAGAAGCCTCTAGAATGCGTCAAATTGGAGCTTACCCGTCTGACCTCCTCGAGGATTGGATACTTTTTTATTTATTATAGACTTCTTTTGATTCTGTGTGAGATGAAAGAGAGCAGGTGAGGCATTTCTTTTACGATCGTTTGGGACAGAAATGTTTCAAGTGTATCTTGTCACATTGGTCCAGTGACTCCAACTCTGTCAGGAAACATCAACCAGTTCATTGGTTTATGTGCAAGAATCTTGTTCTATGCTCTGAAAAGATGTAAATCCCCTCGTATATGATGCATACTTCTGACGCCAAAAGTCCCCTCGCATTGACTCAAATGAAAGGTTAATTATTGGTTTGATATTTTATAGCGTTTATTTCTTTTATGCTTTTCTTCCTCCCCATTTTTTTTATAGATATAATTCATCATTTAATCAAGATATGTCTTCATTTATGGTCTCTTTGCTGTCATAGTCAATTAATTTTTTTGTTTGAATTTAATTATTTTATTTTTGAAGTTTTCCCTGCTATTTGCAGCTGTGCAGTGGGTACAGGAGGAGAAAATCACACTGTTCACTGCTGATGGACTCGTTCAACTTGGGGGAAACATGGTTAAGCGACGAATGTCTTCGTCTGATGTATGCTTATTTCCCTCCATTAGTTCTGTGCATTTTTTTTTCTCACCATTCTGAGTGAGAAGGCATAATGGAATTTCATACCTTTATTTTCTTGTGGCGAATATAGTTCATTCATTGAATCTATAAACACTGTTAGGTGTGTTAGTTTATTCTACTCTGGAAGATACACAATATACTTGTAAGAACTGAATAAGTCAACAGTTTATAGAAGCTTATGAGACACGTTGCATAATATCTTCTTGGCACTCTCTTTGCTTCCCTCTTTCCATACTTCATC